CCCCTCCTTCCACTTACACTTCATTGTTAGCTTATTCCTTCAGTTCTCATCTCTGTTTTCTTTGGTCAAGGGTTAAGAGCTCCAAACACAGATTAAAAGAGTTACATCAATATTACCAGTTGATTCTGCTTCAGTTGGCAACTCCTGTGCTTTTCAAGGATGGTAATTGATGTTCTGGCTTATTTCTTTTCAGAGTTATTTGTGGAGCTTTCTCCAAATTCTTTGCTGGTATTAAATTATCCTAGTCATCTCATCTCCTAAGATAGAGGAGCATGCATTTATTTTAAGAAATTATATAATGGCATATACTTCAGGTGGCTTCATGTCTCTTTCTCTGTTTTCACTTTGGTTTGTCATTTCCCTCATTTTTCTAGGAGATAGAACCATCTCTTCTGCACCTGTGCCTTCTGGGTTCTCCATGATTTGGGATGATCCTTTTGGGATCTGGTTCTGCAGCATGATGATTTGTCTGGTTCAGGCAAGACCTGGAGAATTTGATCCTGCATGTAAACTAAAACTCACGTTCTACAAAAATGTAGCTGTGACTTTTTTTTTTTACAACTAGGATTTATCTTAAATGCTAAGCCTAATTTAAGAAGGCTTAAATGCTAAGCCTAATTTAAGAATAAAAGATATTATTTTATTCTAAAATTATTTAAAGATAACCTAAGGCAAAGTGAATCCTGGTCTTCATGAGGTTAAGTCATTTTTTCCAAGTAGGATAGGAGGGAATACACAGTTTCAATTGGAAGGGACCTGCAGTGACCATCCAGGTCTGACCAGTTCAGGGCTATTTTGTCTTAAGAATATGTGCTGCCTTGGCAATTCATGTGTATATTGACACACTTGATTGATTCCCTCTAACCTGAGGTCCAACTTATCCAGTATTCCTTGCAGGGACATAGCAGCTGAAATCCTGAAAAGCATTTAGGTGCATGACTCTTGCTTGAGGCTGACCTCCATTGATTTTGGCCAAGGTTCACAAGCTGGGTAAGACTGCAATTGATTCTGTTCAGGCATGGAGCTCAGAAAAACACAGACAAACCTGTTGGCTTTGACCCACAGACATTTAGGTCCGTTATTTTCAGCGTGTGCCTTTTCTAAACTTCTCAAAGCACAGGTCCAGATGCTTTTCCGGATATCAGCCACACACGTACCAGAACCATGAAGTGTAGGAAACAAAGTAGCATTTGCCTCTGTAACTACTCTGTCTCAAAAAGTAAATCTAAGCACAAGCACTGTTTTATGTTTGATAATGCATTATTTAGCAGAACTCYTCCTGTTTACACCAACAACTCTGGTACAAAGTGCCACTACCAGTGATGTTTGTACTCTCTGATTGCAAACAGTATTGTAGCCTCAAAAATGCAGGGCCAGTACAGTAACATGTTGCTAATTCAATAAGTATGAACTTGGAATAAAGTTTTAAAACAGAAAAAAATCCAGTGGCTATGAGTCAAGGGTCAAGTCTAAGTAAGTTTTCCAAAGAGCCAACTGGTCTTCTGCCAGATCTTCTGGTTCACCCACAGACTGGTTTCCCTTTAGCTTTGTTGGCATCTTTCTACTTAGGTAATGCCATGACTCTCTGCCAAATTTATCTCATATTACAAAATCCTTAACACCGGGCTGGAAGAGGTTGAAAGGTCTCYCTTAATCTTGCAGGAAAGAAGCCTATTTCAACATGGCTGTGGGTTTGCTACTTCTTTTTTCATCAGGGCTGTATTGCCAAGTCTGGTATATTTATCATGAGTTTCATAGCATTTGATGTCCTGTAAAACAGGACCTAAAATATATTTAAAAAGTCCTGATGGCCCAGCTCTCATTTTCAAGTGATTAAATAAAAATCTTAGCCTTCACTTAAACACACATTTCTAGGCTTAGCATTGTTGGACATATTGTTTGAAGTATTTGAATGTAATTGGAAATACTGTTTGAAGCACTTGAAAATTACTGAAAGAGAAAAATATTGGAAGTTCTTATATCCTCTGCAAACTGAGAAATCAGAACATGTTAAAAAATAGAGCTCGCTCTTATTTTTTTTTTCACAGAAGTCCAGTGGTTTTAAAGTTAATATTGAGATTTAGGAAGAAGAGCAGTTAAGTCCTTCTCTTTGACTGTCTGTTTTCCCCAATTACTTGTGCTCTTCTGTTATTCAAATCTCTCTTCAAGTTGAGTGGATCAAATGGAGGGTGTGGGTTTGGCTTAGCACCTGCCTTTGCTGAGTTTTAGGTTAAAGGAGATCCACAAAGGGAGTTTGGTACCCATTGACGTTTCTCTTCCACAGCCAGGCCACCCCACTTCACCTTTTATGTTTCCATGTAGAAAAGTTCAAAAGGTTCTCCCTGTTTTGTTTTTTTTTTAAGTTTGCTGCATTTCCCTTTGTGGTTGTGAGGATTACCCTGCCCTAGTTTATCTTAAAGAATTGCTGATGGTGCAGACAGTGTGCCATCTGCGGCCCTTGTAGCATGTCTGGGGCAATGCTCAGTATTTACAAAAGAATGTTTTTTCTCTCAGATGTTTGAATTCAAACCATACTGTTGTTATTTATTAAATAAATAAAACTTAATTTCCTGATGTTTTATTTATTAAAAAATGAGTGTTATTAAAAAATGTTAGGCTTTATGTTTACTCTCAGATCACAGATGACTTTTACTCCATATAGTACAAGTGCAGGTGTGGTGCTTCTGTGCCAGGGAACACATGARAATGAAGAAATGTTGTGGGCTCTCTGCGTTGGGCATCTGTGCTCAGCTGTGCTGGGTATGACTGGGCACAACTTTTTATTGCCCTGCCATGGCATCTGGTTTGTGTCAGTATAAGCAAAAGATGGTTCAGGTATCCTAAGCAGGTTAAAAGGCTCTCTTTTCCAGAATGGCTTTAGGAAAGTTAAAACAAACTTGATGAGGTTTAGAAGCTGGCAAACTTTTGTGGGACAGACTCGTCATTACCTCACTCTGTGCTGAGGAATTTGGGCTGGAAACTTTGGAGCAATATTTTCCCATACAGAAGGGTTACCTCAGCATTAGAAGTGGATGCTGCAGCTTAGATAAAAACTTAGATAAAAGCTTAGTTCAGTTCCTAGTTTTGCTAACTATCAGTCCTAGGACTCCGCAGGAACCGCTCTTTCTCTTCCTCTGTTCTGCTTTTTTGGGTTTTTTTTTTGTCCACATCCCATTTCTGCCTTCCCCCAAGATACATTCTGTWTCCCACCCACACCTTTCCTCATCTGAGAATTACTTAACTTTCTGAAGAGGAGTCCTGTGAAATGTATCCTACACAGATGCACTGCTAGGGTGGAGCTGGGAATAGAGCATGGGTGGAAACAAGGGACTGGGACAGGGATGAGGGAGAAAGGAGGCATGAGCCAGCAGTGTGCCCAGGTGGCCAAAAAGCTAATGGCATCCTGGTTTGTATAAAATAAGTGTGTCAAACAGTCCTAGCGGAGCAACTGTCCCTTAGTTCTYGGCACTGGTGAAGCTGCACCTCAGATTCTGTGCCCAGTTTTGGGCCCCTCAGGAAAAGAATGATGTTGAGATGCTGGAGTCAGTCCAGAGAAAGGCAAGGGGAGCAGTCAGGAGCTTGAGTCCTAGGGGAAGCAGCTGAGAGAACTGGAGTTGTTTAACCTGGAGAAGAGGCTCAGGGGTGACCTTTTCACTCTCTGCAAGTACCTGAAAGGAGGGTGTAAAAGGTGAGGGTCAGGCTCTTCTCCCAGGTAGCCAGTGGCAGGATAAGAGGAAATGTCCTTGAACTGTCCCAGAGGAGATTTAGGTTGGGCATCAGGAAGATTCTTTTTTTCACTAAAAGGATGATGAGACATTGCAATAGGCTGTCCAGGGAAATGGCAGAGTCATTGTCCCTGGAGATGTTCAGGAAACAAGTGGACATTAGTACAGTGGTGTACTTGTCATGATGGTGTTCAGTCACAGGTTGGACCCATTGATGTTGGAGGTCTTTTTCAGCCTTAATGATTCTGTGATTCTGTGATATGAGACAATATGACACTGCAGCTCCAGGGCAAGAGACCAGAACTGCTCTTTTTTGTAGCTCTGTGAATTAAAAACAGCTTAAGAGGATATTGTACTCTCCTCTCAGAGCCCTTCATAAACTCATGCTATGCACAGAGATTGAAGAGCACCCTAAGTAGTCGAGATAAAATTGTGTGGGCAACAGGTTTGCATCTAGAGCAGGTTTTCTCAGAGATGATCTTCCTATGCCTAATTTTAGAGCCCAGTCTTTTCCATCGATTCCCTGGCATGCATGCCTTCAATTTYGGTGCTCTACTGTTTGGAATTCCTTTGACTTCCTTTGCCTGTCTACCCGTGTCAGTGAACAAGCTTCTTCAGCTTCTCCAAGCTTATTGAATTCTCCTTCTCACTGTTACCGACATGTCTCAGCAGCTGGCTCTCACAGAACTCCCTAATCACCTTCCTGGCCTTGGAGAGGGTTGGTTTGTGTGCAAATTTATAAGCTGGTGTAAGTAAAATCAATAAAGAACAAGGCTACAGCGATGCAAAACCTATTATTCATTTATTGGACAAATGTAATTTTAATGCTCATTTTAATGCTTTATGCTTGTAAACATGCTAAAAATGCTTGGAATATGGAAATTCAGTGGCTGACACCACTGTTTCCTATGAAGCTTTGCAACCTTAAATTGGCTCRTGGTGTTATCATGGCCCTTTGAGCCAGCACCACCAAAACCACTACGAGGTTCACCATAGAGTTCAACAGATCGGAAACTGAGCCCTAAATTCCGGTTTGTTCAAGAGTGAAAATCCTACATCAGATCTCACTGAAACAGATCAATAGTCTTTCTTGTTGGATTACAGCTGCACCAGTGCTGTACAGTCTGGAAACGTGGTCAGTTTGTACTTCACAGGGAACAGGATCTGCAAGTTGGAGGAACTAAGGTCACCTAAGTCTCTAGCTGTATTTGTCTATTCTAARCCAAGAATGTATTACCAAGGGCAGATGGATAATGCACAGGCATTATCCACATACTGGAAACCCAATCCACTTGAGAAGGAAAGTCCTGAAGAACCTAATATCCATATTTAATGAGAGTGGGTGGCCTGATCTACTCCTGAGTTTGCCCTGAGCAGAGCTCTTTCGTCATTAGAGATTTTTAAGACAACATAAAAGAGACTCTCAGTAAAACTKGGTTAGACTTCTGGTTTTATTGATGTATCTACTCTCATTTTTATCAGATATTGCATGTTGTAAATACCCAGAATTCCCTTGTGTGGGCAGACATTTGTTGCAGTGGAGTCACATTGAGGGCTACAACAGGTAATGCCAGATGCAGCCCATCAGAGACCTTCTGACGACGTTTTCTCCACAATTCCAGCTACTGAACTCCGAGAAGCTGGTAGGGATCTCTGGATTGGTTCCAAGTATAAAGTAGAAGACAGGAAAGTCTAGTGTATGTTGGGAAGTTATAGTATGTTTCCACTTTATTGGGAAGTGACTGCACTGGGAAGCCATTTATACAGAGTTGTTATGTGAAAGGAAGTTGTACGTGTTCAGAATGGCTACATGGATATATAAGAAAGGTAACTGTGCAGATGCCATAGAGTTRTGTATCATAAACATGTATGTCATAAGCAAATTTAATTGGGGAATACAACTGTCAGTGCAGCTTCGAAAAATCTCTGAATTCACTGTTGCAAGCATGTGGGTTGGTAATTTATGTATTAGCTCCAGAGGGAAAGAATTGTATCTTCAGCAGACAGCTGATGAGTGTTGGTATTTTTTTGTGAGCCTAATTGACCTTCTCCTGTAATCACTAATCCTCATCCCGCCTGGTGTGTCTCCAAGCTTTCCAAGTGGAGTACACTCAAGCTTTTTAAACATTTTGAAATGGGCAGTCATAGTCTGTCATCCTGCAGACAATAAATTTCCACTGACGATCCCTGCATGAAACAAAGAGAGAGAGGTATTAGTGAGCCAGAACTGCAGAAGATGCTATACAAGTAAGAGTAGCTTTATATCAGGTATTGTGGCAACAAAAAYATCTGCCATTAACTGACTTTTATCTGAGTGCTTTGTGATTTTGTGGGCTGAAAGGACATTAAATATATGTGATAATTACAATCTCTTCTCGCTCCTTTACAAGGTAAGAAAATCAGCTCTCTGAATAAGGAGGTCTCTGAGTATCCTTCAGAAGACAATGAATTTTGATGGTGATCAGTCCTGAATCGAATTTCAAGCAGTGACCAAGAGGAAAATGATGGTTCTGTCAAAAGTTATTGTCATGTCATATATTGCCCAGTAATGCGTAAAAAATGGGTGATTTTCAATCTATCTCTAGGAGATGAGTTATCCACACAGCAAATTTCGCCCTTTTATTTTTTTTCAATGTTTTTCACTACTAGGTCTTCCTATTAGCGTCCTTTATTAAAGTTCTGAAGCAATCAATAGTGAGAGAAATGAAATTCACTTTTCATCCTTGACAAGTCACATGTGAGAAAGAGTAACATTTACGAGTCTCAGTTTGTGAGTGGTATTCTCTCTCAAGAGAGTGATAGGAAACCTCACAATTGTTAGAAGGAAGCCTGACTGGAGCAGTGGGATTCAACAGTGGAGGCCAGTGATTTAGTGAACAAAAGCTGCAACAGGCTACAAATTTAATTTCCACCTTAGCTTATTGTGCATTAAATTTTCCTTTGACAGATAGAAGTGAGTTCAGAGGATCAAATACTGTCCTGCTGTGGAAAAAAATGTTGAATTTAGGCTGCTTGGTACTGGCAAACTTGAATTTAGATCCAAAGTACAGTCCTTGCAGATAGCAGTCATTTATATTGAAAATGGATAGTCCTCAAGAGGTTTCTGAAAGGTTGGATTCTGTTAATAGTGATGCCCTAAATCTGAGGCATGGGATGGGTAATGCTGCTGGAGTGATTTCATAGGAACTTGCATTTAAAGACTCCTGCACAGCACTGGTTTTCTGGGGAGGAAACTGATGCCAAACTGCTGCCTCTTGGGAATGTGCTGAGACCCCTGAGCCCAGATTTTGGTATTAACTGTGCTTACATCGTGTCATTGATTGGGTGACTCTGTCCTGGAATAACATTAATTTGACTCTTAAGCTCTATGTAGGTATAAAATGTCTCATTTCAGCTTTCGTTAACTGAGGTTAATTGGAAATTCACTGTGCTACTTCACCAGTTTATCCTGAGTGTCATTTGGAACTGGGTCTGTCTTATACTCATCAGCAAGTCTGATGATACAGTTATATAATGTTTGGCTTTGGTTTTCTATAGATCTTTCCTAGATGTTTTTAAATTATAATTTCCTCATAAAACTGTTACCAAAGGTTAATGGAATGCAAGATTCATTTTTAGGTTTATTTTAAGAATCCCTTATTTGGTCTCKGTGCGTGCTCTTCAAAGAAAGTTATTACTCTTTTGGTCATTAAATTACCAAGAGAGATAAAAAATAAAGAGGACTCATTTGTGAAAAACAGGAATATATTGGTCAAAGTTAAGGTCTGCTAAACTAGACCCATTGTCAGAGAGACTTTTAGCTGAAAACCTGAAGTAATTTTTCTAAAATAGAGCATTGTGAAATTAAAAGTCAAGCTCTTTAAAATAAATGTATTTTAATCACCCGAATTTAAAACATGCTTTAAAATACTGGAACAGAATTATTTCTAAAGCTGCCATTTAAGCTTGGACTTGCAGATGCTGGCATATATGCACATGGTTGATACATTTAATGTCATGGTGCCTTTTTCCCCCTATTACTTGTTTTTGAGGTCAAGCATGTATGTCCAGCTTTTCAGGATACAGGCAATTACTTTGTACTATTGCTGCTGTGTGCTTAATTCAGCAGTTAWCAGCCTGTTTCAATTTGTAGAATCCTTACAAGTTTACCAGTGGGGGCCCAGATCCCATCAGGAATTGCCTTATGAGGCATACTCTAGAATATGTCTGAACTTGCCTTTGCAGATCCTTAGCACCAGTTTGTAGGTGTGGTCCCCTCCCAGTTGCTAAATTCATGCATTTTCCTTGGCTTTGGGAATCAATATTGAGCTGTCACTTTTGCTTTCCAGCTGTCATGTGCTGTCAGATTTGAATTTTTTGATGTATAGAGAAATTTCTTTTATCTCCAAATATTGTTGAATAATCTGTTTCCAATTCAGTTAAAAAAATTCTGTGAATTCCTATTCATATTGAGTTTGACAAAATCCTCTTTCTTTGGTCATATGAAACTTATTAGGGACCTTAAATACCCTATAATTTAGCTCAGCTGAGCTTGGTGGATGTCCAGCTTGTCCAGGCATTTCAAATGTACTTTACTGTTGGGATATCTGGCTGTCGATTTATTTTTCAGTGATGATGCCTGAGCAGTTAAGAAATACCTGGCTGTCCAGATCACCCAAATAGATGGAGCAGAGAACAGTTTTGTAAAAGAAATGAGCTTATGACTCTGTGAATGTACTATTTTTATACTACACAGCAAAGGACAAGCTGTGGCACTTACCAAGAACTCCTGGTAATTCCCACTTCCCTGTCCCAACATATTTGCTGCAGGCTGGGCTGTGAATGTTCCAGTGCTGGTCTCTGGACTCAGGACACTGATCCAACCAGATCACAGCCAAGTAACAATGTTCCACTAGGAAGCTGTGCTGTCATCTTTTGATAGTTTCAGCTCAGGTTGAAAGTATTTCATTGTTTGGTTTGTGAATTTAATTTTGGGAGCTATTTTGCCAAAGGTTTGCAGTGTGTGTGTGAGCAGTTTCAGTAGTTTACAACCTGCTTCATGTCCCTCTTTGAAATTTGACTGTATCTCTCTGTCTAACAAAAGACACTGCCCTCTCCTGCAAATGTTCCCTTTTTTATGTCCTTAGGTCATCCTGTCTGCATCAGTGTTACCACCACACTCCTGAATGGGCTCCCAGAAATACTTTAGGCCTGTTCTAATTCTTCCCAGCTGTTTTGTCTTGCATTATAGACAGTTGTTTTCTCCTTTTGACCTATTTAAAAGGGACTGGAAAATGTAAATATTAACCACTTCTGAAGTCTGTTCTCCACAARTAAGCAGTTAAAATTTTTGATGGTCATAAACACTCTTCCATTCACTCCTGATGCACAGGCATGGAAACACAGAGAGAGATTGCAGAAGTGTTGGTGGGGATAACATAATTCTAAACTTTCCACATCCTTTGCCAYAAGCATCACATACAAATACTGTTGATACGTCTCAAATATCTTCATATCAACAGTGACCTGAGTGATTCGATGTCTTATGGAGTAGGAAGGAAAGATATGATTTCTGCAAGTTTATTGAAAAAGTCTGAAAATACCTACCTGTTTGAAGTGATTGGGAAAGCTTAAGAGGCTTTTKTGTGCCTCTCATTAGCTAAAGAACATTGTCCACCATAAACTAAATGGTAGGGACACAAGTTTAACGTGCTTGAAAATAAGGAACAGTTTAAAAATTGGAACATTTGCCCCTGACATGCTGAGACTCAGAAGATCCTTTTCTGTTCCTATTCTGGCTCATGGCTGCAAAAAAACATTTAGGATGACAAATTTTGCTGACTCTCATGAATCATGCTGCTCAGAAGGAGTGTTACAGCGTGAATCTGAATTCTGAACTGGTGTAACAAGAATTTTTTTTCACTTCATACATTTGGCAATACCAATTGGTTTTGGTTGTTCTGGAAGCTGAGACCAGAAACTTCACTGGTGCAAAAAAGTTTTCTAGTTTGCAATTCATAAAATGTTTTTTCTCTGAATTTTTTTCTCTGATGTCTGCCACCAGAGCAGTGGCAGGTACAAAGGTGTGCTGGTGGCTTCTCTGTYTTCTAGGCACTGTGGTTCTGTGTGGAGCTGTACTCCCCATTTCCCTGCCTCTGCTCCTGGCCAGTCTCCCCACTGCAACTCTGTCCTGAAGTCATAGACAAAAATCTGCTCAGAGGCATAGTTACCTCAGCTGCTTTGTTTTCTGGGCTTGTCCTTGTGATTCCAGACTTTACCCTGGTCCACATCCGATGGAATGTGAATTCAGCTGCAGGGGCACTCACTGTCTGCATTATTTCCCCTACTCTTTACTACAGTCATGAGGAACAAGGATTAATACAAGCACTGGGAAATATTTAAGAATAAAAGCTCAGATCAGGGCTTTTTTTACTTCTTACAAGGTCCCCTATAAGCTTGTAAATTCTTTATCTAAAGCAATAAATAGATACCTTTGAGTTAAGCATCTGTAAAAGTTATTCTTCCACTTGTGGGAACAATTTGCAGACASAGCTTCCATTTGATAATGAATAGTGTAATGTGTTTTAGCCAGGAAAGTACGGTTATGGACCTGCAGCAGCAGTCTTACAATGTGTTATCATTTCTGGAAAAGCCTCTTTRTTTTAGGTGACCTTTTGGTTGAAGCACCCCTATCGTGAATTTTGGCTCTATAAGAGACCATTACAGTGACAAAAGCACTTTGGCTGCTTGGAGTGTTATTAGAGGCAGCTTGAAATATTGGTGTCTTTAAACTCCTACTTCTCTCTTCTTTTCCCCTTCTCATGTTCCCAGTCTTGGCAGAGCAGTGCAGCACACTTTGCCTTGCTGTCTGTGCTGTGCTTGGTAACAAATGCTTTAATACACTGGACTGAAGTGCCTGATAAAAGGCATCAGCAAAGAAATAGCTCATGATTGATGTATTAGAGGTCAGCTTGGAAGATTCAAGATCCCTCTCCCACAATCAGGTTCCAGTGACTGCTTACACTCTTCTCAAACCTGCTCTGTTAGGATCTCYATGGCACCAGGCAGACAACAGTGAGGGATTTATGTCAAATCCCAATTTTAAAACTTTGCAGTTGTACATAGCAAAGGGGGAGAAACACTCCTTTTTAACCAAGCAGAAAAATTATGAATCCATTTGCATGACTACGACTTTCCTAGCTGTAGGACCTCTCCCAAGAGGACTAGCAAATGTCAAAAAATGACCRGAGCCGATCAAGAAAATGTAGGTAATTCATTTTCTGGAAAGGGATCCTGGTGTGCTGCATTTCCTAAATTCCTGGTGTGGCTTGAATCTGCTAGAATTGTGTTGAAATGGATCGAGCAGTTTGCAGCATTCCCATTGTAGCTTATATGGTCTTAACTTTGCATGCTGGCAGATTCCCTGCTTCTCTGCAAAGAAAAGTGRACCAAAATAGGTCCCTCATTCCCTGAAGGTACAGGGTTTTTTACTGAGCTCCATGAAATATGCTCCAACCAGAGGTAGGTGAGAAGCAACACTGCAGATTCATTGCACTTTGTGTAGCTCAGATTCAGCCCAACTTTCCATTTCTGTGTTATTTACTGCTCAGATGGACATGGATGTGATCCCCATTAGCATGAAGATGCCCCACTCCCAATACACCACTCTGGATAATGATTATATGCACTGTGAACTTTGGTGCTCAGAAGTACCAGTGTGATGCTGAGTACCACAGCAGATGGTGTGTAGCCATGCACTGTTGGGGGGAAATAGAAAAGCAGACTTTTTTTATCTTTTAATTTCTAATGAAACAGATGAAAAGCAAACCTGTCCACAGCAGAGAAAGTTGTGGTTGCCCCACGGATGTAGTAGTCATAAGTGTACATCATCATGTCCATATCTTCTCCGTAGTGTCCTGGATATTCTGTTGTTAACCTTTACATTAAGGAAAAAGAGGATAACATAATTTACCATCTTATAGAAAAGTCCACTTGAATGAATAAAACTCAATAAGTAGATTTTTCCTGCTTCTTTGAAAGTTCTTGTTTCTTAACAGCACCATAAGATAGTCTCACATGACACTGCCTTTCTCTTCTGTGCAACCAGTTCAGGTAGCTATTTGAATAAAATTCAGAAACTTTCAAACAGTTAAAAGTGAACTGGAGTATTGGATTTTATGTATATATATCTCTGGGATAAAAGCAATCTGAAAAACAAGGTAAAGCTTGTCTACTACTGCTGTTTTTATTGCAGGGATTTTCTCCAGCCTCTTGTGAGTCTCTTTGATATGCTGCTGTAGAGTGCAGTAAATGTTGCCAAGTCAAACGACTCTAAGAATTTATCCATTTACGAGTTATATTAAATGAATGTAACAATTAATCCACTAATCTTAGTTGTTTCCTCTTTCTGTCTAATTTATAAYGTAAAAATATGGGCCTGGACAATATTTGTGCAGTGTGTTTTATCTGAGAACCTCAAAGTGCTTCTTCAATTATTAATCAAATTATGATTGCTGCTTCCTTGGAAAATAGTCAAGTAATACTGTAATTAATTTTACGTATAATGAGCAGATTCTGGAAGGAGCTAAAGCTTGACCAGCGCTTTCTTGTATCTGAGGTGTGAATGGAAATCTGGTGCTCCTTGTATTATACCATTTTACATGGGAGTTGTAGAGTTGTGTCACCTTCACTGTGAAACAGCAAAGGGGAGACTCAGGTTCCCTGTAAGAGAGATACTGTCCCTGTGGAAATAAATAGCCCAATTCCTGTTGAGACTAAGAGGGTTAAGACACCCCAACAGAAAACCTGACAACCTTTTCCTGACTTAATCWGACCCAGCAGCAGCACTTGGATGATGCTTGAAGGTGATCCAGCCAGCACTCATGCATGATTACATTTTATTAAATTGGTGGAGTTTAAGCACAGGCTTAAATATGTTACTCACTAGGAATACAGTTATTGGGATGGGTTTGAGTTTTTATAACAAGGTGCTTTGGGTGTATTTGGAGCCCAAACCAGCAACTGTTGGAGAAATCAGCTGAAAGTTTACCTGAAAACCGAGGTACTCTGGGCTATTAAGTTTCTTTCCAGGTCATATTCAGCTTTTGAATGTGAAAGAACGTCATTCAGTCGGAACATCATTCCTAACAAATCATTGTTCCCTGACAAATGAAAAATGGGTCTGTGTGTGAAACTCAAGCACGGCCTAATAAGATCCTCAAGTCTCATCAGTCAATTATTTTGAATGTATCTTGTTCTCATGCTTCCTGTCCTTTGGCCATGGCAATCATCACGCAGATTCTGAGTTACAGTACAAGGGCACCAATCCCAGAGTGTGTTTGGGAAGTAGAAGGTCAGACCTGCTCACAATGTCTGTTGTCAGAGTTCTGACCATGGACATAAGGATTTGCAAAGCCCTTACAGTGCTGTGCCATGGTAAGAAATAATAATATTTACGGTATTTCACGGGTCATGCAGACAGCTGCTGTGCATGAGGAGAAAGAGAAGAAACTGTGTGTTCTGCTCCCTCAGCTAGAGAAGAGTCCCCATATTTAGCTTACTAATTTGGAGTCTGAGTGTCTGATAGCACATCTTCAGAAAATCCAGGGTCATACAAGGTTTTAAAAATGTGGTATGAAGACCAGCTATGGACCAGGATTTTGTTTTGCATTCTCCCATCAATTCCAGGTTTTGACACTTTGGCTACAATTATGAGAAAACACTAAGACATGTGTTTTTATATGTTCTACCAAATGTGTTTCATAACATCTGTTTGGCACTCAGCAAGGAAAATGTTCTGTAATCTTGACCAGCACTATGTGCTGGGCAGATGAGATTGTTCACAGCACAAGGTTAAAAAGCTGCTTTTTGCTCTGAACAGAGTCAGTTCTCTGAACTTCTTTTATGGGCCGCTTAGTTGAAAAGTAGATCTGATGAGAAGCTTCTGAATTGCTGTGGTCTCGCAGACCTTTTGCAGAAGCATGCAGTGTTATTCTGAAGTGCAGTGGGAGTCTTCATTGAGCTTGCCTCTCTWTTCTCTCTGACTGCTGTCATCTTCYCCTCCCTCTCTACTAACTTCTCCACATTACCATGCAGCMTCTTAAGGCTCCTCTGCTAAGAAGTGTTCAAAAAGCAGCAGTAATATGCAATTAYTGAAAAGAAATTATTTGGGGACTTGAGCTGCTCTGCAATATGTCTTGTTACATAGACGGATGCCTACTGACTCCATTTGTTCTGGAGAGAAAAATCACAAATAGTGCTATGACAGCAGTGTTCAAGTTTGCATCTGTCTGTGTGATATGTCTAATTAATTCCTGTTTGATGATTGCTGTATTTGTTTCTGAAACTGTTCCCCTAAGCCCCTGCATTTCAAGGTTGTCTGGCTTGCACTGTGACCTTTAGCAGGAAATGCAGTTGATTGTCCTTGTAGCAGGGCTCTGTGGTGTGTCCCRTTCATTTTTTAYWATCTCMATCTTTTGAATCTTGGGGGTAATTCACACAAAATGTGTCTGCACTTAGAGATGCTCTAGTATTTAATGSCCAGGGATAGTCACTATGTGATTTTTCTCATCATTAAGGGGAAAAAGGTCATTTAAGAGAGCCACTAAGGGTCTTCCCAAAGTGTCTGCCTGGCACAGGGGCACAGGATTTGTTCCCTCAGGCTTTGTTGCAGCTTGATCTGCACCCTTATTATCAAATACCTAACTTTAAATGTTAAATGTTTTACTCATTAATGCATACAAAGTGCATATCAACTTACAAGCCACCTAGCATGGACCTACAGACACATAATTGATTTACAAATACGGTAGCATTTGTAAGGCACATGTGACAATGTATGGTTTGTACCTGAGAGAAATCACAAAATGAGTGAGAGACACKTTTTGCCCTGATTAGTGAGGGTTTGCCTGCCCATGGGAAAGACTCATTTGGGAAAAGCCATCCACAGTAACCTTCACAGTGCCCTGTAAGCACTTCTGGCATTGAGCTCAAAGAGAATAGGGCTAGGGGAGCAGTGAGAAGCTTGGGAACTGCCAAGTGTTTAGAGCTCCTGCTGCTGTTTGGGGTGTTACAAGGCCTCTATGACCAAGCTGAGGTTCTTGTGGTGCCTGTAGGGGGTACATGACAGGGGACCTAGAAAAGAAGATTGCAAAGCAGCTCTGAGGTGTTTGTTATATTGATTGCGGGCTCTAGGCACAATTTAGTGCTAAACAAATGCCGAGGGGCAAGGGACAGCAGGGTGCATTTAGTGGAATATGTTACACCCAGATACATACACAGGTGTTAAGTTAGGGAAGGACTCAGAGCAGAAAAGAGTTATATGAGACCTTCAACAAGTGGAAGTCTTTTCAGTCTGTATCATCTGTTTGCAAGAAAATACAGAAAACAGGAACTCTGGTTCAGCTTTTCAAATCTGCTTTTTTTTTTTTTTTCTGGATAGTATGAGGTATAAAATGTTTGAGCTCAAGAGACTTGAAGCACTAGGGGCATTGTTGGKAGAGGAGAAAGAACGTAATTCTATTTTAAAGACTGAGAAAGAAAGTCTTGTGACAAGGGATGGAAGTAGTTTGGCCTGTGTGTGAGGCAGCAGGAAAAACTGATGGAAAAAGGTATTTTCATAATGACATTTTTAGCTAGAAGAGAGTTGATGTGAAATGGTTTATCTTTACAGTGGTTTGCATTGCCCCAACCAGCCACACATTTTTCTAATGTATTTCACTATAATCCTATAAGTCTTGCTCAGGGTAGGATATGTATTGAAAAAAAAAGCATTAAATCTTTACCAGGGTTACTGTTGTTTTTATTTTAATCTGAAAATAGCTGTGTTGTTTATTTTCCATRGTGAAGAATTGCTATGGTAGAGATTAATAGAAAACACAGAGTTACTCATTTAAAACTGAGAAGAATGTTTTGTGCTAATCTGCAGTGATCCGTGGCACTCTTTTAACAATTGACTTCTGAAATAGTTGTCATGAGTCTATTCTTTACCAATAAGAAGATCAAGTCATACCAATGGCCTTAGTATATACAGCRTGCTAATTAAAGAGATTCATAGGAGCTGTGGGTATGCCTTGTCTTCAGCTACCAAGMAGGTGAAAGAAATCAGTTTTTGAAAAATCAGAGATAGTCAGTGGTAGAAGTCACAGTTCCTGTCTTCAATTGTTGAATATCCTTACTCCTTTATAGTAAGTACATGGTTTGGAATATCTTACAATGCTCATTTCTTGTTCAGCTACAGTGCTAACAAGATTAATGGTTCCTCTTTAATTGTCATTTTCCTCTTTGCCTCCAAACTCTTCCTCTAACAATGCCACAGCCAAAAGAAAGAACGTTCCATTTCAAGAGGAAAACTTATGCTTTGACATTAACTTTCTGACCTTTGAGGACAAGAGGTGTCCCTTGAATGGCCTTACTTTCAGATGTTGTTTACAAGAGCTTCAAGAGTATGTCTTTCCTAAAGGATAAATTTTTTTCAGGAGCYGCAAGCCTGCAAGTTACATGCAGTGAACATGGGAATTATATGCCTCTTTAATCAATTTCCACTCTTCCTCCAGCTGGAAGACAGAAGTCATCTGTTTTRAAAAATGCATACTGTACTGAAAAGCCAAAGAAGGTCTTAGTAAGCTGTCTACAGAAATTCCGGCAAATGCTCTGACAATAGATCCCAGACTGCTGGGCTGCCAGGGAACTAGAAGTGTCCTGGAGCTCCTCTAGAGATGAGAAATTTTCTTTTGTGGCCATGTAATTTGTTTTGGGGCTGAGTCCCAGCTCCAGGCTCTAAGCCCATGGATTCATACAGACACATCACTGCTCCTGTGTTCCCAGTGTGGCTGCTCTGAAAGCCACAAGCCTTCCCGGGACTGTAAACCCCCGAGGCTGGCACAGCCGGAATACAATTCTTCAAGGCTTACAGGAGCTGGTACAAAGCAGCAGCAGAGAGCTCAGGGCAACTTGTGTCTGTTCCTCAAGAAAGACTTGTCCAATGTAACATTAGCTGGCTTTCCAATGTCACAGTGAATGTGTTTCTCCTAAAATGTCTGTGGAAGATGGTCCTGCAGATTTAACTGGAAGGTTGTATTTGATGGGTAATATTAAAAAAAAAAAAAATCAAATGCCTCCCCAAACAGTGAAATACCTTTTAAAAAAGGAAAAAGAGGGGAGGAGGTTTTCCAGAACTGCATGTTTCCTCCACATCTATTCTGATTTCACCTCTTGGATTTATATCTCTTCTACTGGTTATCCCTGAGAAACCTGAATAAGATCACAATTTCCAATAYGTCTTGTGTGGCAGGTTGAGTCAAGAATACAAATAAGTACTTTAAGTCCCATAACTCTTGGAAAATGTAATTGTTGCCTGGACAGTGTCACCATGACAGAGAGCAGCCACAGCTCCAGACAGACCTTCTGGCATTTGGACTGCTCSTTGTTTGAAGAAGGGAAACAGTCATAAACAGTCTGTGCAGACTGGGGGCTGCTCTGTGACATGTGTTTGCTTTTGAGAGTATGGAGTCAAGCTTTCATTTCCTGGCARAGAGAAAAATCTGAGCTCTAATGGGACCACTTAGTGACACTGTCTCGACATCTGTGATAGATTTGCTTCCTTTATGGTGCAAATCAGCACACAGTTTATTTTACTGTGGTAGCATTCCCTAGCCAGGTAAAGTAAAGAGAGCTTTTCTCCCTCCTGTGAGGAATGTTAATTATTTTTAGTATATTAAAAATGTGCAGAATCCATGACAAGTCTTGGCATGATGAAGAAGGAAACTAAGTACTTGTAAAAAAATTTACAAAGTAAGTGCAAAACTATGAGACTGGAAAACATTAGTAAATTTTTTTTCAGTATGAACTTACTGCAGAGGTAAACTGGGAATTAATAGCGAGACTATGGGCTGTGTAACAGAACTACTGAGTTCAAAGAGTGAGGATGTAAATGCTACCAAACAAAGCTCTTCTGTATGTATTTGACTTCAGTCATTCTGTTAAGCAAAGTGAAAACAAAGTGTTGGTTTCAGTCAGCATGATAGTGTTATAAATTAGTATTCCAATAAATACTAGCAGTTGTCAAAAWACTCAGAAGTGTTCTAGGTGCAAAAACCAGGGCAAATTCTAACAAATTTTCATGGCTCATACACATAAATAAACTTGTCTTTATTCATTGTAGGRTCAGCTCACTTCAGAAGGAGTGTAGTCCTGGAGCAGAAAAGCCAAGAGAAACCATACATAAGGATCAGCAGTCTTACTGCTTTCATATTTGCCAGAGAGCCCTGTATGGAAACAACTGGAAGAGGAAGGAATCAAACACCCAAGGTAAGAACTAATTTGAAACAAAGAGTTTTGTCATACCTCAATATTGTCAGTTTTCTTAAAAATGCATTTCTGCCCATATCTGGTTTCGTACTGAAGTATACATRGCATATTAAAATTCAAGGCTGCTGAGAAATTCTGCAGCACGGATTTCCTTTGAATATGGATTTTTCTGTGCAATGTATGATCCACAGGGCACCACTATCATTGCATACTTTCCTGTTACTGCTTTTCCACAGTCATATACTAATAGAAGCCTTTGCATGAAAATAAGCTGCTTCAACAAATAAAGAGGAGTCAGCAGCATGTTAATAGCCATTTCTCCACAGTTACTTTATTGACAGCTGGTTTCTGGAACAGAACAAATACTGCTGTAGTTTGGGGCAGAAACTGCAATAAATAATGATACTCTATACACACACATTTTTTTGTCTTGTATGCATATACAATGTGAGGTCTTACCCATGGTAGCCCAGAACTACTTTGCAGTTTATTGGGAAAATATTTTTTTTCTGTCAAATGCATCTTAACCAGAGTGSAAAATACAGATCAGCAGAATGATGCATGAACAAGGTCTTATGACAATAACTTGGAAAGGCCAGTGGAAGTTAGGCWGTATGTGAGATCTCCTGGGTTCACCGAGGCGTAACAATTCAGACAARTCACATCTGTGACTTCACAAGTTAAAGTGGGTCCAAACCATGGAGTTTCATGCTACCTCAGTGAAGTTCATGTTGATTATATGTTAGCATAGTAACCAGTACTTGCCCAGAGTGCTAGCACACTGTCTAGGCAGAGTAAAGGGAGTACAGCAAAAAATAAACCATTCCCAGCAGATGATAGAAAAGAGACCACTGTTTTGGAAGGGAGACTATSTGTATGGAGTGGGTCCTCCAGTAAAAAAGTCCTCCAATGTGGGACTCCAGGACAACTCTGGCRGAAAGGGACCTCAAAAAGTCTTTGCTACAAGCCCTCTGCTCCAACCAGGTTCGACCACGAGGTCAGACCAGGCTTCTCAACCTTTATTCAGTTCAGCCTTAAAAGCCTCCAAAGAGTCTCAATGGGCAATCTGTCCTCATAGAAGAAGTAGTTTTCTTTACATCCCACTCAACAGCACTCCTGCCCTCAAGCATGTCACCTGTACCCCCTCACCCCCACAACTGGTGTCATATGCAAACTTGGCCAGCATGTGCTCTRTCTCAGCTGATGGAGATGTTAGGCAGGACAAGCACCCAGGCAGGGTTTCACCCTTTAACCACTGGGTCTGTTAAACCACCATATTTGAACCCATCTAGTTGTCTGTCAATCCAGACCATAACAWCCTAGTTTGGGTAACTGTATGTGGAAAGAGCTTATATACACCTGGCYAACTTAAAGGCAGAATGGTTTTATAATGAAGCCATAATCACAAACYGTGCACCAGAAGCTTTGCACAAGCCAGCTGACATGGCTTCCCGCCAGTTGTACAGCTTTCCCCTCCCTGAAGAATGTGAGCACATGGGATTTCCACCCTGCTTAGAGGGAAAAACAYTTCACCTGCCTTTGAAATGCTGCCTTTTCTTCATGGAACTGCAGGTGAACTGCATAAGGCTTTTTTCCCAAGCATAAAAACAGAGTRTTGTCACTTTTGGAAATAGAAGGGCAGTATAGGAGTCTCTGTGCAGCTSAGATGAAAAGTAAAGACTTCAGAAATCCCAAACATTTACATTAGGATTTGCCTTACTCTGAATGCCAATTTGAAAGGCAGAGACAAAGCTGTTCCCCGTTGTCAAGACAACGTCTGAGGGAAGCAGAACTGTCAACAATAACAAAACAAASTCAGAGATTTCTGTTGTCTCCCTGAAAATGTCTGCAATATTAGAGTGCAAGAGATTGGAAGAACTGCTTAAAAGTCTGAGTGAGTTTCCCTCAGAGGGAACAGTCTGGRCAGGTATGTAAATAAACCTCCAGGTAGAGAACATCCGTAGGCAGAGTCGGCTAGGAAGGAGGCAGAAGAATTTTCAGAAGCATGTCCAAAGACTTTGTTACAGAGTTCCTGTAATTTAAAGGCTTTAAAAATAATAATAATAAAAACATTTCTTTTTCTCCTGTCTGCAAAGAGACTGAAGGATGAAAAGCAAGGCAATGCTGTTGTGTTTGGCCAGTAGCCAGCCAGCAAGTAAGACAAATGGGCACATAAACAGTTTGTGAGCATCTCAATGGGAAGCTTACTTCAAAGCTGAGGTCTGGAAACAAAGATTCAAGCACAGATTTTTTTTTTCTCCCCTACTTTTTTTTAAATTTTTTTTTTTAACTGCAGGGTTATTCTTCATATCACTGAGAATAGCTGAATTTAACCTGAATGTAACCCTGGAACATAAAATTATGAGTTCTCTTAGACAGAATGGACAGGAGCAATGTGAGCTTCTTGTACACAGTCTGCTCCTGTCTTCCATCTTAATTTAGAGAAACCCCACCTGTGATGCGTTTTAGAGAAACAGGGAAGCTTGGGCTGCATGGCTCATTTTTCCACAGTCTCTGTGAAGCTGCAAACACCAATTGTATTACTGTGTTGAGATGAGACTGCCTTTTTCTTTTGGTTTTATGATCAGTGGCTTATTTTGGCTCTGATCTCTAACCAGTCTTGAGAAAGGAAGCAGAGTTGTATTTACTACTAATATTTTTTTCTGAGGTAACTGGTATAAGTTCACCCCTGTAAGTCATTGTGGCACAAAYGTGTAGCACAGAGATGCTCCTACTCCTGTAAATGTGCTGGATTTGTTGTGGGAAGACATCATTCGACTTTGGAGATTTCTGTCATGGTTTCCAGCACAGCTGGGCTGATGCTGATCCCCAGGCCTGTTCACTGAGGGCCAGCTACTGCATTCAGTGTAAATATTCCCTTATTCTCTTCCCTTACCCATGGATCCTTCAGAATCCTGTACCAGATTGGAAATCACACGCTTAGCTCCATAAAGCACAGTTCACTCCTTTTCAGGTAAGGTTTCTGACAGGTCAAGCAGCCAAAAACATTTATAGGGACTTTTGGGGGAAAGAGGGTCTCAGGTTTGGGGTCTGCTTGAACTCACCAGCAGGAGTACGGGCATCTCCGGCTGTAGCGGCAGCAGTAGAATTGCCATTCACGGTCCAGCACCGATGGAAAATACTGACTCTGGAAACCAGCCACCAGCCCATTGTTTGAGCAGGTTTGGTACCTAATAATGAGGAGAAAAAAGAGAAGCACAAGGAAAACGTGGTATTAGATTTCTTGATAATTTAAAGCATTTCTCAAAACAGCATTAACATTTTTGGTATAGAGTGGAAGTTAAGCATTTGATTTTATGCTGAGAAACACTGTTTGCACTTGCTGTGTATTGAGTAACTWTTTTGTATAAGAAAGCAGCAGTAGTTAATGTCTTAACATTTATGTTGCATTTGAAACTATTTCATCTGGCTGAAGTATTTAATCATTCTAGTAAGATAACCAGGCAAGATTGTTCTGGTGGTGGTATTTTCAACCGTTTACAAATCATGAGACTGACTTCAAAATAGCCTATTAATACTTTTGTCTGTGACTGCTGGTATTTGTGGATTTGGACTTTATTGAACTAACCTTTTCAACTGCTTCTCTGCCAAAAATAAGAAAAAAAAAAAAAAAAAGAAAAAAAGATGCTGCTTTATGAAAGAGTCTCATTAACTTCTTCAATTGTTTTCTTTCACAATTATGTGTCTCCAGGAGAAGGAAACCTTAATTAAAAACATTTAGGCTTGTGATAAAATCATGATTTGATAGCAATCATATARGGAAAACTGTTGATTCAGATGTTACAAAATTTAAAGGCTCCCATAGATCTTACCACTGGATTTTCACAAGAAAAATCTGCTGTTTCCTGCTCTCTGAGTRCTCCGGAATTCTGCCATATGTGTGAATCACTGCCTTCAGGTAGAATAGACCTGGTCTCAAAGCATGCATCCCTCTCTGTCTGCACATACTGCAACACCTAAACACTGATACCCAAAGTAATTCAAGTGGTAATCAGTTTGAAGAACTTGCTTCTTGGAGACTAAAGAGAAGRAGCACATGAAAACAGACAGGTCATTAAGTCAGCTATTGAGTGCTCATTCTCTCAAGCACCCTCCTAGACCTACTGTTTCCTGAAAGTTACAGGAATGTGGTTTCTTCCATTTCCTTTCCTATCTTTTCCTTTCTTCAAGGAAAACCTGCAGCAAACTTCCTTTATGATTTCATAAAATCAGTTACAATGATACATCCAAAAGACACTTTCAGAAATAACTGTATGATTAACAAATACCAAACATTTCCCCTTGGTTTTTTCAATGACTTCATTGTTTATTTTTATGATCCGAAGTTCCCAGAACTAGCATCATTTTGCAGAGTTTGGATTTGGAAAGTCATTCACTTGTTCACAGGGGTATTGATGCCTGCAAAGACAGCATGAGGCTCAAGTGTTTTTATACAAATGCTGAAAAACTGATCAGTTTTTACCAGTGCAATGATGAATTTCTCTGCCTAACTT